AGAAAAAGAAAAAGAAAAAGAAAAAGAAAAAGAAAAAGGAAGGAAGGAAGGAAGGAAGGAGGAAGGAAGGAAGGAAGGAAGGAAGGAAGGAAGGAAGGAAGGAGCAGATGGCAGCCACCACCTCTTCAGAAGAGGGAATAGCTTTTCTAAAATGGTGCCTGCCACATAAAAGTAATGTACAAAGAAAACATTTTTCCCTTCAAAACTGCTGACTGAGTCCTACGCAGACACTTGCAAACAAAGTCAGCTGGTTAATGGATCAGTTTCTTAGAATTCAATTGCTTAATAGGATCTCGCAAATCATTTGGAATGTGTTTGCAAGATGTGGGTGGCTATGTGCAGAAGATATGCTGCCAGGACCGCTGGCATCGTGAAGCGTCTTTGGTATATGCGCATGAACGCACAGATGACTTCAAAAGCCCTTCGCATCAGTCCTCTGAGGAAGGGTTTGCGCAGCCTTCTAGCTTAACCATCTAAGATCGCTTCACGATCCTCCTCCTCCGCTTGTTTCATTTAGCAGATTCCAATTTGCGCAGCCCAGAATGTCTTCCTCAGAGCTTTCCACCATTCCTATCCCATAATAAGTCTCTCTCTTTTTTTTATTATTCCTTTCTCGCCATCAACAGGTCCAAGCAGAGATAAAGAAGTCGTGGAGCCGATGGACATTAGCGCTAGACTTCAGAAGGAAGGCCCGGAGTGGGAGCACTACTTACAGCTATGGACCCATGGTGTCCCACACCAGTGTCACTAATGTCACCGCCAAAGGAGGGATCCCCCTCCCTCTCAACGGCAAACTTATTTCGGGAGCCCTCAACGGACACCGTAATTTGCCCGGGTACATCAAGAACGGCTCCATTTCGGAGAACTCCATGGCGTCTTCTGGAGCAGAGCACTACCACAAAGAGGAGGAACATCTCCACAGCTCCGGGCTCTACAACGGATACAAGCCGGCCACCCTGATGGAAAAAGAAGAGGAGACCACGATGTGACCCGGACGAAAGGGATGGTTAGACAGCCACATGGAGGGGTCCCGGAAGGCCCCGAGGGTTGCAAGAAATCCCCGGTCCATCGCTCCACATCACGGCTTCGGGGAGGGGGGTTGACTTTCCACCCCATTCTTTGCAACGAGAAACCATGTTTTATGGGCACCCGGAAGCGAGTGAAGGCCAGAGTTCTGGTGACCCGGCAGAGCTGCCTGGCCACGAAGGAGATTTTTGATCAATGGTGCTTTAGGGTTCATCTGCAGCACAGCAGACCCGGAAGGAAATAAAGCCTCTACATTGTCCTGCCCCAGAAGCCAAGGGCTGCACCCTGTTGTCCTTGGGGGAGCAGGGGGGAAAGCGCAAGCGGTCCCAGGGCATTCAGAGGGTCTGAGTTACTCCCTTGGGGGGAGAAAAGGTTCTTCCCCACAGATTGCTCAGAGCCAGACCTTCCTGCTGCTGCTAAATTGTCTTGCTTTTCCTCCTTGGATTAAGATTTGGTTTAAAAAAACCAGCCAACCAGAATGCCTGTTTCCATCAGAACGGGAAGTTTTTCCCTCCGGAGCAGTACCTAAATCCATGTTTTAAATGACCAAGTGAAAACAGACATAAGAAAGAGTCCTTTCTCTGAGCAGAGAGAGAGGAACGTACCTACGCCGTAGAAAGAAAACCAAGTTTATCCGCCTGCCCGTCCTTGGTCACGTTACCGCTCTCCTTCTGTCTCTCCGTGCTATAAAATCATATTGTCCCGGGGTCTCCTTCCTGCCCATCTACCCCCCGCCCCCCAAGCCAAGGGACCAGCAGAGGGTCCAGCATGCTTTGTGGAAGGAAAATTATTATTAGATCAATACAGAGTCTGATCTGCGCCAAAGAACGGGTCCGTGAAAAGCGAGACTGGAGGAGAACAATGTCTCTCTGGAGACAGATCATTGATCAGTGATGACATGGAAAAGAAGACCTGGAATTGGGTAAAGAGCGAGCTGGGGGAGGAGAAGAGGTGCTGGGTGGAGGCAATGGAGCTGGGGGGGGGTTCCTTTGTCCCGGCTCGCTCTCCTTCTGCATTGGGACCACGTGCTCTGGAAAACCCACCCGGGACTCCAGGGACCGAGGGCAACCAGCTGAGGGTCAGGTGAGCAGCTTAGGAGGGCATGAAGGAGTGAGCATGGTTTGCACACGGTTTGCACTATCTCCAATGGGTGGGCAAGGCCCAGTGGAAAGAGGAAAAGAGAAGGGACCAGAGAGATTTGGGTAAAGATGTCCAATGGTTGACCAATGACCTGTCGGGGTTTTCCTTCTCCCCTCCCAAAGATCCTGTTTTTCTACCTCTCCTGCTCGGTGCCATTTGCGGCCAAACGCCGGGTCCTTTTGAATGGGGTGACCTTGGGTCTGTCCTGGAGGGGCAGAGCCTGGGACCCCAGGGGGCCAGGCAGCAAAAACGTGGATTTGCACATGAGCAGGCAAGGCCAAAGAAGAGTAGATGATGTCTTCTTCAGCCTCTGTCATAGGCCAGTGATGGGCCGGATCGAATAGCCCCCCACGGGTGCACGAGAATCGGAAGACTGCTCTGTTTTCCAAAACTCTTTAAAGATCCGGCCACGAGGGAGCCAAAATAAGAGGACAACCTTGTTTTCAAGGTTGGGCATGAAAGCCCTTCTGCATTACGATGGCAGCTTTAAAGCTGGTCCTCGTGGGCCCGTGTCTCGTGCAAATGGATCACGCCTTATTCCCACGAGGAACTGCCTTTCAGTAAAGAGACTGAGAATCAGCTGAAAGAGATTCCCAAGTTCCTTTTCAAAAATTCCCATGACTTGGGAAGGAGGAAGACCACGCCGTTTTCAGAGCGTGGTAAAGAGATCCGTCAGTCCGTCCCAACCTTGGGACAAGGTAGCCTCTTAGCTGAGCCGGGACTGATACGTACCTTCGTTTTCTATCCCCATCCCTAAATGATATTAAGGCCATTGCACAAAAGTGCTAGGAAGTTCCTCCTCTGCAAATACAAGCACTGAGTAATTCGATTAGCACCGGTCTGGCTTTGCAACCCCTCTCGAAATGCCCCTCGTTAAAAACTACCACTCCCAGAATTCCTTGCAGAAAGCCATGACAGGTAATTGCTGCTTTTAAAAAGGGCTTGCTAGGGTGGAGTGAATATGCCCCCATCCAGAGTCCTCTGCAGGAGGTGTCAAAAAGTTCAGGATCTGATCGCACGATCGCAGATGCCATCTTGACGTTTTTGACCCTCTGGGCGACTCTGATCAAATCAACCGCTTGACGTAGCCAAGAGTGAACATTTGGAGAAAGAATTCGCTCTGGAAATTAGGAATGTTGCAGAAAAGCTGGATTCCGCCCTACGAATTTGCACAATTCATGTTATGTTGTCTAATTTATTCCACCGTAAACCTATTTTGTGTAATTTATACTGCTTCTGTTAATTTTATGAAAAGGATGTGAAGCTGGGAAGGGAACCAGCCTGTGCTCTCTCCCATCCTTGGCCCACCCCGAGCAACCAACCGCGCATCTCTCAAATTCTTACTCAGCCATCTGCCTTTCTGAAATCTCCCCCAATCCTGCCCCAATATTGTCACAGCCATAAGGACTAGGAACTTGCCCATTAAAAACCAAATAAAAGCTGAACTCTGTAGCTCATGCCAGCACCCTGTGACGTGTTGTTTTTATCTGTGTGTGTCTACGGGACACGGTGCCTGAGGAGCCTTCTCCTTATACCGAGGTCGTATTGGAAAAGTTGGGAATAAAATCCCTGCAGGATTTTCAGCCCCCCAGGATTCCTTCCCAATCTCGTTTGAATAAAGATTCTGTCCCTTTCCTGTTTACCGACGGTCATGTTGCGCCTCCAAGCAAATTGCAGCCTTGCAGCCGCTATCAACATCTGTAAAATCGGACTGAGCCCTCCAGCCCCCTCCAACCGCTGGATGCCAAACAGCCAAAACTTGGGGTTCTTTTGCTAACGGCTTTTTCGCTTTGACGGACAGCAGACACACGACTTTTGGTTGATGTAGCTGTCCAGGGAGTGTGCACACGCCTCTGGGGGTCACCTTCAGGGCCTTGGGGGGTTGTTTTAATTCATGGAAATGGCACCCACAATGCTGGAAGGAAGGGGATGGGGCTCCACGAACAAGGTAGCGGTAGGCATCTGAGCATGTGTGCAGATGTTCAGGTCGCTCCAGTGCGATGCAAGCCCCGTATCTGTGGGCTCCATTCTTCAGCTTCTCCTCCATCTGGCCTTATTTAAAGTCCACAGTATCGCCTACAACGACAGCCGTGGCCAGGAGTAATCGTAGACAGCTGAAGGCTTGATTTTTGACAATGTGGATCACCCAAAGGGGATTGGGAATGGTTGGAATTGACAGCAATTCGTAGCAGGAATCCAGATTGCCAAGGGTGGGAATCATCATTGGGGATTTTATTCCAGATTTTTTCAGACAAGAAAGCGCTTGCTTCAATTTTCCATTCTTCTCCTGGCCTTGCACCATACTGACACACATGCGCGCACACACAGACACACACAACAGGAACTGTTTGGCAGGCAGTTGCGAGTGACCCACCAACTTTTAATTAAATTGTAAATTTTTTAAATGCACATGCCCAGAAGGACAAGAGAATTTCTTCCCCAAGTTGTAAGATGACGTTCAAAATACCCTGGCTGGAGAAAGAATGTGGAATTTGATGCTCTGAGTGTATTATCTCATTGCTAAATCACAGAATTCCAGCTCCTTTCCATTTTTCATGGGTCAAAAAAATCCCAATTTTGCATTGGGGTGGCCTTTCCCACAACTCTGCATTTCTCTCTACTTCCAACGGGTACTTCATGATGGAACCTGTGCAGATCGACCGATGTGTGGATGAAGGAAAGGCAAGCTGTTAATCAAATAAATAATAAAAATATAAAGCTAGCCAATCTGGAGCTGCAAAACTCCAGATGCCCACGAGATGAGAGAGTTCTGTATCCCTTAGATACCCTCTGGATTTTTTAGCCCAAAATTCATTGCAATATTTGAGGAATTCTCTTTTTGGCAGGATACAATAAGCTAGGAAAATAGATTGGGTTTTTAGGGACTCATGGATCGAAGCGACCGGTCGTTCTATGCATTCCATTTTTGCCAAGGAAGTGAACAGGACTATGATGGTAAAGTTTTCAGAAGATTCCATCAAGAAAAAGGGTGTTTTTTCAATTATTATTATTATTATCATGATGATGATGATTATTAATCTGGCGGTAACAAATGCAAAGCCAAACCAGAGAGTGAGAGGAAAGAACAATTTGACTTTTTTTTTTTTTTTAATTTCATGGCTCATGATTTGTAATGAAAAACAGGGCTGGAGATGGTTGAGCAAAGGCACAAGAATTGTTTACAAGCTAAAGACGCCCATCCGTAATACAGGCAAGAAAGATTTCCGTATGCTTCACGTTGACTTTGGTGATTGGGAATTGCTGGGGCTTGGGATTAAAAATCGGACATCAGCGTGGAGATGCAGGCAGGGCAGGAAAGAAATGTGTGGTTTTGAATTCCAAAAATGATCCAATTGCTTCTCCAGCACAGTGTTTCTCAACCTTGGCAACTTTAAGATGCGTGGACTTCAACTCCCAGAATTCCCCAGCCAGCTGTGCTGGCTGGGGAGTTCTTGGCGTTGTAATTCAACCCTCTCCCAACTGCCAAGAATTAGAAAAACCTCCCCA